TGTTCATTCTCGGTTTTCTATCCTAGAAACGACAGTGTTACAGTACAATGTTAAGCGAAAATGAAGGAAATTATTAATTGCCTTTTTCATCATTCTTGTTCAAGCTATCTGGTAATTAAATGTTTTGGCTTTCTAATAATTTTAAAGAGTTTTACAATCATCATCATTTAACTGCATCAACTCAAACTCGTCAATGTCTGGGAATTGCAAATGCTATTAATTCAGTTGTCAGAAAAATACAACATACTGCAAAATTTAAAGGAAACAAAAAAATGTTGACAGATAAATTCAGAGCTGCCAAAGACTTTGAAAGACAATTCAATATTGCTGCTTTATCTGAGAGCTCCTGGTTAAGTGAGGGCAAATGTGGATAAAAGAGGAAATTATGTGAGAAAAAAAAACCTCACAGCTGGCTGGAATACACCAGAAATCTGAACGTGGACCTGATGTTTTTGTCTCCAACAATCTGTTAAATCAATTTAGTGTCCTTTACTGATTATGCATGTGGCAATCATGCAAAGCCACATGCACAAATCTTGCATGCAAAAGGCAAACTCAAGTACTAATCAATAATAGTTGAGGTTTATAAACATGTAATTTTCCTTTACAGGCGAACCTTTTGTTTTAACATCTCATCAATTAGATTGACATGCATCAATTACGTCTAATAACAAACATACCCGCTGTGTGTCATTTGACAGCAATAGAAGCCTGAACAAACACTCTATCGCAGACTGTTTTCACTGGACATGTGTGAATGCACAACATATCACAGATTTGCTTGCACACATCTCACAATGCAAACAGACCAAGTTCAACCTTGAGAGGACTATTACATTATACTGTGTTATTAAACTGATGCCAAGATGAGGGACACTAAATGGAAACCAGTAAGCTCAGTTCACACAATATACTGGTGACAAATAAAATCCTCTCATTCTTTTAAGCTCATCAGGTCTGCAACATATGAGCTGGACTCCTGGCAAGATAATTGCATTGTACATGGCATCTAATTAAATGTCCATAAGCAGGGAAATCCAGGACTAGGTCTGTGTGTGTGTGTGTGTG